ACTGCCTTACAAAAAAACCAGCATATTTATTGAAAACATGAGACAGGATTATAGTGCCTTAACCAGATATATTTTGTGATTTAAAAAATATATTTAAAACTGCTCTTCTGCTCTAGTACGATGCTTAGTGCAAATGATTATTTCTATGTACAACTGATGCTTGTTCTTATTTTAATAAATCTCTCAGAGTGAAGCCTGAGTCTTTTCTGCCTTTTTTTAGGGGGGGATACATGTTTTATTTTTTAAATTAAAAAAATTTTTTTTGCATTTTAGGTTTTGGGGTACATGTGCAGAACATGCAAGATAGATTTGCTTGGGTGTGGGCTGATCACACAACTTAAGCGCTTTGTGACTTTGTATAATTGGAGTGAGACAGCAGCAACTCTCTTTAACATTATAATTGAGACTATTTGCCCTTATTGATGTTTTTGTTTTTTTTAGATGGAGTCTTGCTCTGTCACCCATACTGGAGTGCAGTGGTAGGATCTTGGCTCACTGCAACCTCTGCCTCTCAGATTCAAGCGATTTGCCTGCCTCAGCCTACTGAGTAGCTGGGATTACAGGCGCATGCCACCATACCCAGCTAATTTTTGTATTTTTAGTAGAGACTGGGTTTTACCATGTTGGCCAGGCTGGTCTTGAACTCCTAACCTCATGATCCACCCACCTCAGCCTCCCAAAGTGCTGGGATTACAGGTGTGAGCCACCAAGCCAGGCCTATTCTTATCATATTCTAAATTGTACTCTGGATGTGTAAGATACATGGTCTTAGCCAAGCACTTAATGACAATTTTGGTGGTTGCTGGGTTGCTTAGGAGCCTCCTCAGCCCAGAACTTTCATCTCAGGTGTTTTTTTTTTTTTTTGAGATAAAGCTACTTTGTGGTTGGGCGTGGTGGCTCATGCCTGTAATCCCAGCACTTTGGGAGGCCGAGGCAAGTGGATCACGAGGTCAATAGATGGAGACCATCCTGGCCAACATGGTGAAACCCTGTCTCTACTAAAAATACAAAAATTGGCTGGGCGTGGTGGCGCACACCTGTAGTCCCAGCTACTCAGGAGGCTGAGGCAGGAGAATTGCTTGAACCCAGGAGGCGGAGGTTGCAGTGAGCCGAGGTTGTGCCACTGCACTCCAGCCTGGCACCTGGCAACGGAGCAAGACTCTGTCTCAAAAAAGAAAAAAGCTACTTTGTTCCCTTTTCCTCAAAGGAGCAGATCTTATTAAGTGTTCCTAAAGTTTCACCAGCAGGGCTGGAAGCAGGTGGGTTTTTCTTTTCTACTAGTGCAGAAAGGGTTACCTATTACCACTGAAACTTTCTGCAGCCCTCAGGCCTGCAGCTTTTTTCTGTGAGTCCCTTCTTCCCTTCTATCCTGAAGGCATCACGCAGTTTTTGCTACTGATCCTCACCCCAAATAAAACTGGCGTAAATAGCCAAAATTCAAAGCTGCCATTTGTAGTTCCTCTTTCTCCCCAGATGGTACTTGATGGCTGCTTTGAAAAAGATCCTGAACATTTTTATTAAGCCACAATATTTTTCCCAATTGTCTTCCCCACAAGAAGAAACAAATCTTGGTTACTTGGGAACAGCAAGTTCATTTTCTCCTTATCCTCCTGTTTTCTATTATGTGACTTTCAGGTCTACCACTGATTTTCAACATAACTTTTCTTATAGGCAGGAAACCAGCAACCTGGATAGGCACCAGGTCAGTCAATTCTTCTTATGTCTAAAGTTTTAATGGTATGGGAGGAAGCCTGAATATGCCACCCCAGAATATACTTCTTTGGCATATTTCAAATTGATTATTCTGAGAACTGCAGGCATGAATAGCTCTGAAAAGCTGTCCTTTTCTAAAGGAAATGTAAATATTATCTACCTTAGTAAGGTAAACAGAGGATGCAAGCAGAGGGTTTCTCTGTGTGTGAAACCCCTTTATCTGATTAAAGACAGATAAAGCTCTGACACATTCCTAAAACAGAGACTACCACAGCTACTCTTCTGATAGCTGTTGCCTAAGAGATTTCATTTGCAGAAGACAGCCTTTGCTTACCACGCAAAGTTGTTCACCATCCATCTAGGCAGAGATAGGCAAGCCAAGTAGCATTCATCATCAAGTGGAAATGGAGCTTGTGGGATCCGAAGAGTCCCTGAAGGCCCGCCCACACAAACCACATATATAAGTTGCTCATACTTCCAGCATGTCCACTTGTTATAATATTGCCCTTCACTTAGTACATACCCAACACCCAACATATTTCAGTATTACAGCTTCAAGTAACCACTCCGTCATTTGTCAGATTTTGTTTCTCTTAACAGTCTTCCCCACAATTTCCTTTGAATAAATTACCTCTCCTTTTGCATTTAGTCTTGATGAATCAGTAAACCCAGCCGCTTTGCCTCAAACCATTTAAGCCAAAGTAGATCCTGGGGAGTCCTCTCAAAGATCCGAGACTGCCAGGGGTGATTTTTGCCTGAGTTTGCACTCACGTCCAGGCATTTAAATTTTAAATGGGCACTGTAAGCAGCTGGAGTTCATTTAATCCATGAGGAATAAAAGCAAGATTATTGAGCAATTTCTGCTTAAAAAAAACTTTTGAGAGCTAAATTTCTATCCTAAGTCTGGTTCTTTAGCTTCCCTTTGATCTTATCCTTCAAATAAATTCTTTATTGCTTAGGTTAGCTAGATTTGGTTGCTACCAACAGAATGCTAACCGGTATTCTTTATAAGTCTATGACTATGGCCCAATAGATGACCCTCATCTCCCTTAGACATGACTGCAAATGATACAGCCAATCCTCTATTTGAGTTATCTTGGTCATTCTTAGAATTTCTGGAAGCTATTTTTGGAACAGTGTGGTATATACCATTGTGTTCTATTCTCAGTTCCAAATCTGCATGTCAGTAACATTTCAATGTTTTGGCTTTAAATTTTTTTATATTTATTTTTTTAGAGACAGGGTTTCACTATGACGCCCATTCTGGAGTGCAATGGTGCAATCTTGGATTACTGCAATTTCCACCTCCTCGGCTCAAGTGATCCTCTCCAGCAGCTGGGACTACAGGTGCACTTGGCATTAGTTTGTCACAGTTCACAAACCTGTGTCCTTGATGCATACCACACCCAACACTAACATTCACCGTAACCAACTTAAAAGCACAAAAGCTAGTTTCTGAAAGTATTCTCAGCAGGTTTATAACTGTAAATATTAGACAATTACAAAAATAGACTCCCACTTCAGTGTTTTAGTAATGAGACCCTATGGGCCATTAATAAATAGTATAAACTTTACACCAATGTAACTGGGATGTTTTTTGTTTCTATTCACATTGCTAAGTGGTTTCTTTAACGTTTGATATCATCTGCACACAGCATCTGTGTCATATATGACAATCACATTTTAATCAATTAGGTTAGAAGCCCATATTTAATAAGGTTCAAGTTCTCAATATAATTTTCATGAACATCATGATTTAGGCAGAATGTTTTCCTATAGCTGTAAATAAAGAGAAATTTAGCCTTACCAAAAAAAAAAAAAGATTAGAGAGCTCTCTTTGATAACTAAATCTGTAACAAGTTTAATAATGAAGGCCCTGTAAAGATTTCTGTCAGCGCTAGATACAATTATTCTATTACTTTATTTGAAGCACCCAGTTGGTGCTGAAATTTCAGCCATGCACTATATATATTCAGTATATCAGAATTCTGCTCAATATTCTGACTTCAAGAGAAGTTAAAAAGAAACATAAAATATATATCATCCAATTTATTTTCTTTATCCAGAAGAAATCTGTTAACATTTTCCCACAATACATAATTCCAGTAAAAAATTCCTACCAATGAGATGAGGCAACCGATATTTTTACACAAGCACAGCTTGAGACATCCTCATCTAGCATTAAACCTGTAAGTTATAGCTACTAAATAATATTAGGTTATTATGATCCACACAGAATAGATTACCCCAACCCGACTCTTAATATCACGAGTGCTGGATTTACCTGCAGGTGGGGGTGTTGACTGAGATCAAAAGCAGAGACATAGTAAAGGATATACTGAACTGAATCAAATACTTCATTTCTAAACTATACAGAAAATGGCCTGGAAATAGCTTGAGAAACATCAGACTTATCAAAAGTCTGACAGCAATGATGCTTTTAGGGAAACATGACCTAAGTGGTCCTTTCAGTATCAATCCCTAGAGTACAGGCCTAGGGACTATCGAAGTGGTTTAAGCTTGCAGAATGCTTAAAGAATGAGCCTGGTCAACAGGACATGTACATCAGTGTGCAAAAGTGACAAAATTAATATGACAACAATTCTGCGTCAGGCACTATGCCGAGTGCCTTACATGCATTATTATTATCCAACCCTTTAAAATAAGTGCCACTGTTACCCCATTTTACAGATGAGAAACTAGGGCTCACAGACGCATAGTTAATGGGGAGCCTGAGTTTAAACTCAGGAAGTCTGATTCTAGATCCAGTACTCTTAAGTATTACCCAAAATGAATTATCTTAGAATCTAGAATTCAACTGCGTATATGAAACGCATCTCAAACAGAAGGATAGATGTCATATAACACTAAAAGTTATTTAAAAATCAGGAAAATAAAGTTTCCTGAATTACTTTATGGTCTTAACATGCCTACATGAGTCATGGTTGCTGGGATTAGTACATTGCCCTAACTTTGTTTCATGATTAAAACCACAAAAAAATTTAATAACCACTCCTTTTGGACATTATGAATTTAAGAGAAGACAAAAAGAAAGCACATGTGCCGGTATATATTACTCCTTATTTTCAATTAATAAGTCACCAGATTAAAGTTAAATGATTACTGAAATTCACATTAAAACAGAAATGACTGGATACTAGGATATGTGCTATAAACGTATGAAAACTCCAAAGCAAGATAAAGTCTAAACACAAGTTTTCAACCAAAAAAACCCAGAAAATTTGAAATTACTGAGAAAGACCAAAGATTAAGTGGAGAACAACCAATAAAGAGGGACCCCTTTATTACACATTTATAAAATAATAATATAAGATAGTTATTAAAAATGGGACACTTTTTTTTTTTCATTTTTGGTATCTTGTATTCAATTTTTCCAACCTCTACACAATCTTCCAGAACTTGCTTTTTGTTATCCAGTGTTCACCTGAAACTTCCACCCCACCATTGAAAGTGCAACTGAAGAATAAACAATCTAACAGATTCTTGTGAGACATTATCAGATAAATTAATCTTGTAACACATGAATAAAGATTGAGAGCTTTTAAAGAAATACAGTAAAAGCAAAAACATATGAAGCATAATTTAATCTGATGATTCAGAAGGCACCTCAAGATTGTGTTGTGCCGATTTCCTCATGCTGCATGTTTAGGTGCCTATAACAGAATTCTGGTTAGTGATATTTTGAACAAAAAAATTTCACAAATAATTCACATCAAATGACTACAGATAGATACAATATGGGCATTTTGATGTGTACATTTGTACTTGACCAGGGCACAATTTATGATATAGTAAGAAAACTAATTACAAAATGAGTATTTTTAGCACACTTAGTAACAGCTACTTCTGTTAAACTATTATTTCATTTTTGATGACCAAATTATATTTGACCATAATTAAAGAACATATAACCTTAAAATAATTTTTAAGAAACATAGTGAGAACAGACATATGTTACATTAAATGAAGAAAGGAAAGAAATGTACATGTATTAAAGGGCACTGAGGTTTTTCAAAGCCATTCTTTTGAAAGGCCTTCTAATCCACTTTCATGTAAATCAATTTATACTTTAAAAAAAGTTTCTACTCAGTTTGCTTACGGAAAGATGGAATCAGTGTTGAACACAAGTGCCTAACAACCATTCAGTGCTGATCATTGAATTAGTATTTTTATTTCCTGACAAACATAATAATTGAGCCCATGTATATATGTAAGATGCAGAGGATCCAACAAATCAATTGCAGAAAGAAAAACATTCAACTTAAAAAAGACTGAAACAAATGACAAAACGGAAATGGCTGAATCACTGTACCTTTTTGACACAACCTTAAACCTTAGTTTTACTATATATTATTTGGTACTCTTGGATTCAGTAGTTGGGATAAAAAAAAAGTTTCTGTATTCAAACATATCTACAGAGTGTCAATATAAAATGTGTGGATATATACATTTAATATACACACACATACGCACACACACAAACACATACTCACATGTCTAGGAACCAGCACCTAACCACATCCCCATTCCTCACTAATTGAATCATTTATGACTTTTAAGACCAGCTTAGATTCTATAAGGCTGTACAACATATGGCTAAAGAGGTCAAACACAAGCACCCAAGTTCAGGCTGGATTCAACTGTTCCTCCTCATGATTTCTGACAAACAGTAATACCATTTATGTAACAACTGTAACTCAATAACTTAGAATTCAGAGTATAAAACCATAAACATTAAGCTCCCTCATTGTTTAAAGAACACTCCTTCCATTCTATTTCCACTAAGTGATAAGAGGACACACCAAACTAGATCACTGAACTGTACAAATGATCTTTACTCTTAATCTAAACAAACATGTGTTAAAACATTCTGAAATGCTGCATCCTTTGATTTCTTCATCTTTTCAATTGCTCGATGCAGGTCCTGCTGTTGAACAGGCCGGATTTCATCTTCATCATGGCTAAAATGCAAACAAAACCACCAAATACTCAAATAACTTTAGAATACACCTCCCTAAAATATTTTACCAAGATTTAAAAGAGATGCATGTGTAAAAAAAAATTTTGTTTCAAATGTAGAAAAAGGTATAACAACAAAATCTCTTTACCATTCAAGACCCCAAAGACAACCACAATGAACAGCTTCATATAAATTCTTCCAGGAATTATCTACCCATACAGAAATCATAAGGAATTTTTTAAAAGCACTGACTGCTAAGAAGTAGGAAGCTAAAAGGACTACCTACAATCAAAGACTTCACATCTAGAATATATGTACAGAATATTCCCATAAAGTAAAAAATGTTATATAGTTTATTGAAATGGGACTATAATTCCAATTTAAAAAATCAAGTTATTCCCATAAAAAATGGAATTAAAAAGTAGCATTCCTAGGTTTATACTTACATGCATGTTTTGTTTTTACAAATTGAGAGTAAAGTTCTTCCCTATCAATAAAAAACAACTAATCCAAATCCTCTCTACTTCAATGAGAAACAAAATTCAGAATATTATGGCTCCTTTGTAATTTACAAACATTCAGGGAAAAACATTCAGGAAAAAGTTATGATAGCCCAAGTCCATCCAGATTTTTCATACTGAAATATAAAATTATAAAATATGAAATTCAGTATGCAATACAAAACTAGCCAGACTTTTCATATTGAAATATAGTTTTCAGGGCTTTGAGGCAGAAAAAAAACAATAAAAAAACAGATCTTGCATTATTAGTGTAATTTACATAAGCAAAAGTTACTAACAGGTTGGTTATTTCTCCTCCTAATCTTATTCATAAGAATAACAACCTGGCCAAGAGCTGTGGTTCATGCCAGTAATCCCAGCACTTTGGGAGGCTGAGGCAGGTTGATCACCTGAGGTCAGGAATTTGAGACCAGCCTGGCCAACATGGCGAAATCCCATCTCTACTAAAAATACAAAAATTAGCCAGGTACTTATCATCCCAGCTACTTGGGAGGAAAATTGCTTGAACCCAGGGGGCAGAGGTTGCAGTGAGCCAAGATTGCACAACTTCACTCCAGCCTGGACAAAAGAGCAAAACTCCGTCTCCAAAAATAAAATAAAAATAAAAACCTTTGGAAGGTAGATTCTGACGGTGCACTAATGATGATGAGTCCAGAGCCACTGCACACATAGCTACTGGTTGACACAGTAGTGTTCACGCAGACCTTTCTATACCAAAAAAGCCGGCAAAACATGTTTCATGAAGCTTGCTATGGCAACACACTGTAACTAAATATATGAATACCACACGCAAGGAGTGAAAACCCTAGGAAGGGAGGCCAAGAAACAAAGGAATAGGAGTTGTTGAATTCCTTTAACACAACTCCTAGAAGTACACTGGGGTTCACCAAGAATCACAGAAATTGTTAGAAGGTTGATATTCTGAAAAGAAATGCAGTATAACATTGGTTCCGGACAAGTGGCCTTTTAGGAAACTTCCTTAAAGGACGTGGTTCATCAGGGGTGAATTATTGGAACTGGTTTCAAGGACAATTTGCTGCAGTGATAAATGGTTTCTTTGTTTAGTAAATACATTTTCATCAACAAGTTGAGATCTAGTCCTCAATATCTCCAGCTCTCCTCACATTTATATGTGATATTTCCATGGATCATCAGAAGAAATTCAACTTTTTTACTCCTTCATTCTAGACCCTTCCCACAATTCTGCCCTGCTTCACTTTTAGAACTCTGCTTTCGAAAAATGGCAATAAACCAAGTTGGGGGGGTGGTGATAATTCAAATTTACCTTTTATTTCATAAGCAGTGTTTCTAATATAAAGCAAAATAAAAGAAACTAACCTTAAAGCTCTAAAGGGTTTTCATAAGAATTAAAAATCAAGTAAAAATAACATACCTTTCTTCTGCTGTAGAATTAACATATTCTCTAACACAGAGGAGGGCAGCATCTCGACACATCTCTTTTAGGTCACTTCCTGAAAACCCATCTGTTTCCTGGGCAACTTCGAGCAGGTCTACATGCCTGTCCACCTTAAACAAATACAAAAACATGCTTCAAAAACAAAAATAAATATATTGCAAATGACACTACCAAACACCCATTTTAAAGAAAATTAAGCATATTATAACAGCATGGGAGGAGAAATATTAAAGTATATTTAGTTTCTAGAAACTTTTTTTAACCATAAAACCTTAGAAGTTAGAAATCTAATTTTCATTACTTGTCTTTATGATTAAGACAATTCTTACTAGATACACTGTAGAGTGATGGGGAAGAATAGACATTCAAACACTATTGGACTCACTTTGATGTCTCTCAAGAAGGTACCAAGGTGACATTTTTCTCTAATATATTCAACATACAGTACTTGGCAAACAGTCTACATCATTAACTCCAGAGTCCATTACACACAAACAAACCAAACCTCTTAACATTCATTTTAACTGTAATACCAGGTATTCTATTATCTCAATATGAATTTAGCACCTATACTTTTGCTGCTCCCCAACATTAGCTTACCGTAAAGCCAACTAAATGACTGTCCTAGCCATATGATAGACTTGAGAGAGTCTAATCACATTAAAATTATGCACAGATTAAGAAGAGAAAATACGCAAGAAAAAAACCTATGACTACCCTCTAGTAAATAATTCTTATGTCTCATTTACTGGGGTAAGCACTTAATATGTATTATTCTAATTTAATCTTCTCAGACACTATCAATTTCATTTTCAGATAAGAATCATGAGACGTGGAGGCGTAAACAAGGTCAGAGCCAGGATTTGAACACAATACAGTGAGGTCCAGCTATATTCCTCCGCTATTTAGCTCATCACTTGTCACAGCAACATTTACTTTCCCCCACTGATGTGAAATACCACCTTAGAGTTACCAAATTCCCATTTGTATTTGTGGAAGACACAGTGATTAAGAACAGCAACTCTACACAAGGAAAAGAGATTTGAAGGTGAGACAACACTGCCAGCTCTGCAACTGAGACAGTGCTCTCTCATTCCTAAACGTTGAGGGTTACATGAAGATAAAGCATATACTTTTTGATAAAAAGAAAACTAAACCCAGAGGGCAGGAGTGCAAGCAGCAATGATAAGCAAAGTAAACACACAGATAAATCTTTAGCTATATAAATAGTAGTAATAATCACTATTATGGTAATTATAATCATATGGGGCACAGAAACAAAGTGGAGCTACAATGCTAAACAAGAAGAACATGTAAGACAGAGGAGACATCTACATTAAGGCATTCTTTTAACAATTACAGCATTAAAAAGAGGGTACAAATATTATTAACCTAGATTTTATTTATGTATGTCAAAAAAACAAAAGGTACCACTAAAGGAGAGAAAGAGAATGTATAATTTCCGAACCAACAGACAAAGGGAGAAAAACAGAAAAAAGAATACAAGAGCAGTATTAATTAACTCAGGACTAGAGGGGGACAAAAAAGTAAAGAAGAAGCATAACACATGGAAAGCATTAAAATAATAATGAATGAATCCAAATTTATGAGTAATCAACACAAATGCAAACAGTCTAAACTAGGCTGGGAAAAGATTTTATACAAAAAAACCCAAAATGTAGCTATTTTAGGTTTATAATAGACATACTTATGCTGAAGGGTAAAAAAACAGGTTTCGTATTACATTTGAAATAAAAACAAAGAAAATCTAGTTACGTCCGATTTTTACTCAAAAGGCATAACAGAATAAAAGCCATTATAAAATGATAAAAAAATTTCACTAGAAAAATAAAACCATTCTGTACTTGTAGACATACATGTAACATGGCCTCAAAACATATACAGCAAAAATTTACATAATTACGTATAAAAATGGACAAATTCACAATACTAGAAGATTTTTAACATATGTCTCATGTACTGCCACATCGGTGAGTTGTTAGGACTGGTGACAGCACCTGTGATCTAATGTACATACATGTACATAATTTAGATATTAGTCCTTTGATGGATATAGGGTTGCAAATATTTTCGTTGTGGCTTGTTTTTTCACTTTGTTCCGGTTATCCCGTGACATACAAGTTTTAAGTCTGATTATAGTCAGACTTTTCTATTCTCTTTCCTTTGTAGTTTTTAATTTTTTGTGAATGGGAAACTCTTCTCACATGTCCTTAAGGAGACAAACATATAAAAGAATCTATTTTTCTACTCTTTGTAATAGAGTAGAAATAACCTAGACCTATACACATATATGAGGCATCTGTTCACATATATTCACGGGATTGATACACTCTACCAACTCCTGGACAGCAGGTTACCAATGCTGGTGATAGTAGGAGGTGGCCAGTGGTTGCTTAAGGCTGTACTTAATTAAATAAAAAAGATATGAAACAAATGTGGGAATATATTAAAATTGCCTATTAAATATGGGTAGAAGACAATAAGGCTATTTGTTTATATGTTTCAAATATGTCATACATTTAACATACTACTTTAAAAGGCTTTTCAAACTATACTCTGAGATGTTAAAAATTAAACATCCAACACTTCCTCCTATCTTTTGATCACTCCATTGTTGGGCCACCCTATGTTCTACCCACTCACAAATCTTGCGCCTAACAAGATGATACAATTAGATGAACCAACCAAGTATAAGAAAACAAAGAAAAGAATATTCCAGTCACTGGGGAACAAGATTTAATTAAGAGGTACCATACCCTAATGGTTAAGAGAAGGCTCCATCACGTCTTTGTGTAATCCTGGGCAAGTTATTACATAACTTCTCTGGGTTTCAGTTTCCTCAGCTGTAAAATAGGACTAATATGTACTCCTTAGAGAAATGAGGATTAAATAAAACAATGTATAGCTCACCAAAATGCTTGGCACATAGCAAGCACTCTTTAAAGTAGCGCATTTTGTTGTAAGATAATAGCTTTTAGATTAACCATGAAATAATGAGAACTCTTTTCATTAGGCAACTCTGAAGGCAATTCCCAAGTTAAAAAAGGTTTTGAGTATAAGCAGCAATAGCAGAATAAGTTAAAAGACTTTAAAACAGCTTGAAAGAATGGCACTTACTTATGTGCAGTTGTTTATTATTATATCCACCATTAATAGTGTACTTTTAAATAACATCTCTGTACGATAAGCATTTTACATTTATAATTGTATTTCAAGACCAGCCAGGGCAACATTATGAGACCCTGATATGGTCTGGCTCTGTGTCCCCACCCAAGTCTCATGTTGAATTTAATTCCCAATGTTGGGAAAGGGACCTGGTAGAAGGCGATTGGATTATGGGGGAAGATTTCCCCCTTGTTCTCATGATAGTGACTTCTCTCAAGATCTGATGGCTTAAAAGTGTATGGCACTTCCCCTTTCACTCTCTCCCTCTCCTGCTCTGCCATGGTAATATGTGCTTGCTTCCCCTTCGCATTCCACCATGATTTTAAGGTTCCTGAGGCCTCCTAGCCACGCTTCCTATACAGCCTATGGAACTGTGAGTCAATTAAACCTCTTTTCTTCATAAATTATCCAGTCTCAGGTAGTTCTTTACAGCAATTTGAGAATGGACTAATACAGACCCCAACTCAACAAAAAAATTTTTTTTAATTAGCTGGGTGTGTCTAGCTACTCAGGAGGCTGAGGCAGGAGGATCACATGAGCCAAGGAGTTCAAGACTACAGTGAGCTAGGATTGTACCACTGTTTTCCAGTCTGGATAGAATGACCAGGCTCATCAGTTAGAATGCAGGAGACTCTCAGGGCTGTCTCAAAAAAAAAAAATTCTGCTATATCATATAAAAGTAAATTCAGGAGCTACCTCTTAATTAAAGTCAGACATAATACTTTTATAGTATATAAATTTTATCAGTGCTAATTCTTTTTATACTTAAAACCTTAAGCCAAAATCACTGCATTATCTTAAAATAAGCAAACCATGTTAAGGAGTACCTATCAATAAAGAATTGCAAAAGAGTAGAACACAATATCATTTCAACTCAAAGTCTGGAAGTTCATGTGAATTTAAAAAAAAAAAAAAAAACCCTTATTCAACTCCACAATTTATAAGCATGACGGTGCTGAGTTTACTAAATAAATATAAGTGATACTGATTTGAGGCATTTTAACAAAATTAAATGAATTTTCTTCAGATATTATAGAAGTAGCAGTAAGCCTTCGGTATATAAATACCAACCAGTGGGAAATGACGAGATGTTCTCATGTGAGCAATTATCCAGAGAGTATTCATATTTTGCAACATAAAACAAATTAGAGACTAATACTTTGTGCTTTCATGAATAAGAAACAGAATGCTAAACATTCCCTGTATCTGTTAGGCGTGATGGCTCATGCTTGTAATCCTAGCACTTTGGGAGGCTGAGATGGGTGGATCTCTTGGGCTCAGGAGTTCTAGACCAGCCTGGGCAACATGGTGAAATCCCATTTCTACCAAAAATACAAAAAATTAGCTGGGTGTGGTGGCATGTACCTGTAGTCCCAGCTACTTAGGGGGCTGAGGTGGGAGGATCACTTGAGCCCAGGAAGGCTGCAGTGAGCTGAGATTGTGCAACTGCACTCCAGCCTGGGTGACAAAATGGAGACTGTCTCACAAAAAAAAATTTCTCTGTATCCATGAAAAATATAATTCTAAAAGAATTTACAAAGACAGTACTGTTTAAGAAAGCAGAATACTAAATACTAAAATTAAGAGACATGCATAATTTCTTCTTTCTCTTATTTTTTTTTTTTTTAGAGGCAGGGTCTTGAACATTCACTGCAGCCTTGAACTTCTGAGCTCAAGTGACCCTCCTGCCTCAGCCTCCTGAGTAGCCAGGCACAACCAATTTTTAAAATTTCTTTGTAGAGATGAGGTCTCATCATGTTGCCCAGATCTGTCTCAAACTCCTGGCCTCAAGTGATCCTCCCACAATGGCCTTCTGAAGTGCTAGGATTACAGGCATGAGTCACCATGCCCAGCACTGACATGAGTAACTTCTTAAGTTTAAATGTGAAAACTTAATAACCTGTGTAAATTATGCTATGTTACA